CCTCTCTCTCCTCCTCTTCCTCTTCCCTCCTCCTCTTCATCCTCTTCCTCTCTCTCTTTTCCTCCTCCTCCTCCTCCTCTTCCCCTCCTCTTCCTCCTCTTCTTCCTCCTCCTCCTCCTCCTCTTCTTCCTCTTCCTCCTCCTCCTCCTCTTCCTCCTCCTCCTCTTCCTCCTCCTCTTCCTCCTCCTCCTCCTCCTCTTCCTCCTCCTCCTCCTCTTCCTCCTCTTCCTCCTCCTCTTCCTCTTCCTCCTCTTCTTCCTCCTCCTCTCCTCCTCCTCTCCTCTTCCTCCTCTTCCTCCCTGACCTCCTCCTCTTCCTCCTCTCCTCCCTTCCTCCTCTTCTTCCTCCTCTTCCTCCTCCTCCTCCCTCCTCCTCCTCCTCGTCTTCCTCCTCTCTTCCTCCTCCTCCTCCTCCTCCTCTTCCTCCTCCTCCTCGTCTTCCTCCTCCTCTTCTTCCTCCTCCTCCTCCTCCTCTCTCTTCCTCTCCTCCTCCTCCTCCTCTTCCTCCTCCTCCTCTTCCTCCTCCTCTTCCTCCTCCTCCTCTTCTCCTCCTCCTCCACCTCCTCTTCATCCTCCTCCTCTCTCTCCTCCTCCTCCTCTTCCTCCTCCTCCTCCTCCTCTTCATCCTCCTCCTCTCTCCTCCTCTTCCTCCTCCTCCTCCTCTTCCTCCTCTTCCTTCCTCTCCTCTCTCCTCCTCTTCTTCCTCCTCCTCTTCCTCCTCCTCTTCCTCTTCCTCCTCCTCTTCCTCCTCTGACCTCCTCTCCTCCTCTTCTTCCTCCTCCTCCTCCTCCTCCTCTTCTTCCTCCTCTTCCTCCTCCTCTCTCCTCCTCCTCCTCCCTCCTCTTCCTCCTCTTCCTCCTCCTCCTCTTCCTCCTCTTCTCCTCCTCCTCTTCCTCTCTCCTCTCTCCTCCTCCTCCTCCTCTCCTCCTCCTCCTCTTTCCTCTCCCTCTCTCCTCCTCCTCCTCTTCCTCCTCCTCCTCCTCCTCTCCTCCTCCTCCTCTTCCTCCTCCTCCTCTTCCTCCTCTTCTCCTCCTCCTCTTCCTCTTCCTCTCCCTCCTCCTCCTCTCTCTCCTCCTCCTCTTCTCCTCCTCTCTTCCTCCTCCTCCTCTTCCTCCTCCTCCTCCTCCTCCTCCTCCTCTTCCTCTCTCCTCCTCCTCCTCCCCTCCCTCTCTCTCCTCCTCCTCTCCTCCTCCTCCTCTTCCTCCTCCTCCTCCTCTCTCTCCTCCTCCTCTTCCTCCTCCTCCTCCTCCTCTTCCTCCTCCTCCTCCTCCTCCTCTCTCTCTCCTCCTCTTCCTCCTCCTCCTCTTCCTCCTCCTCCTCTCTCTCCTCCTCCTCCTCTTCCTCTCCTCCTCCTTCCTCCTCCTCCTCCTCCTCCCTCTCTCCTCCTCCTCTCTCTCCTCCTCCTCCTCCTCCTCTCCTCCTCCTCCTCCTCCTCCTCTCCTCCTCTTCCCTCCTTCCCTTCCTCCTCCTCCTCTTCCTCCTCCTCCTCCCTCTCTCCTCCTCCTCTTCCTCCTCCTCTCTCTCCTCTCTCCTCTTCCTCCTCCTCCTCCTCCTCTCTCTCTCCTCCTCCTCTCTCCTCCTCTTCCTCTCCTCCTCCTTCCTCCTCCTCCTCTTCCTCCTCCTCCTCTTCCTCCTCCTCCTCCTCTCCTTCTCTCCTCCTCCTCTCTCTCCTCTCCCTCCTCCTCCTCTCTCTCCTCCTCCTCCTCTTCCCCTCCTCCTCCTCCTCCTCCTCCTCCTCCTCTCTCCTCCTCCTCCTCCTCCCCTCCTCTCTCTCCTCCTCCTCTTCCTCCTCCTCCTCCTCTTCCTCCTCCTCCTCTTCCTCCTCCTCCTCTCTCCTCCTCCCCCTCCTCCTCCTCCTCTCTCTCCTCCTCCTCCTCCTCCTCCTCCTCCTCTCTCTCCTCCTCCTCTTCCTCCTCCTCCTCTTCCTCCTCCCTCCTCCTCTCTCTCCTCCTCCTCTCCTCCTCCTCCTCTTCCTCCTCCTCCTCTCTCTCCTCCTCCTCCTCTTCCTCCTCCTCTCTCCTCCTCCTCCTCCTCCTCCTCTCTCTCCTCCTCCTCTTCCTCCTCCTCCTCTTCCTCCTGCAGGTTTCTTGAAGTCTCGAGATCGGACGCAGCAGAAGTTTTACTCTCAGCTGACGAGGACTCAGATGTTCACTCAGTTCATCGAGGAGTGCTCCTTCGTCAGCGACCGACACGCCTGCCTGGAGTTCTTCGACGAGTGCGTCCAGAAGGTAAAGAAACGCCACGTCAAGGTTAATGACGTCGAGGCGCTGAGGGGGCGTGGCCTGGAGGAAAACATTTTAATAACCCAGGAAGAATAATAGAAAAATGAAGAATCAGGAGAAATAAAAGATGAGTTGTGTTTCTTGTTTTTGGTGATCAGGTGGACGTGGAGAAGCCCGAGGAGGTGAGGCTGGTCGACCTGGACGAGACTCACAGCGGGGAACACACGGTCTTCATCATGCCTCCCGAAGAACCGCAGGAACCCGACGGCTCCGAGTGTCCCGCCCTCTACAGGTACAAGAGTCCGTTCCTGTA